ATCCTCCTTCTGTTCCCTCCCTGGAGCAGGAGAGGTGGTGGGGAAAGTTCCACACAGACGGGTCTTTGCAATGCTCATATCCAATGGAGGCTCATAGATGTTTCCACAGACCTGTTCTATGACCGCTTCCTTCAGTGGAGAACGTTCTTTCACCTCTGGGGCCTGAGGAAGTAAATACTTTTAAAACTGTTGGATCTACTAAGTGTAGAAGAATAGAATCCCAATCACCAGGCTTCCGGATACACTTCAATGTGTGGAGAAGGAAGGGAAAAAGCAAGGAAGTTGTATCGGAGATGGGCACCTCATTCATGAAATTGCTTGGTAGACTGTAGGATGCAGAAGCTGGAGGCCTCCTTCTGGGGGAGGTGGCTCAGCAATCCTTGTCCTCACTGTAGAGGGTACATTCCTCAGAGCTTATCTGTACCTCTCCTTTTCCTGTGGCCCTGGACTCTCCACTACTTGCCTACTAATTGCTGACACAGCCCTTCCTACAATTCCCCAGAAACACATTTACCTTGTAAAGTATGTTTGGAGGTACCAGACTAAAAATCTTGGTAGAGAGGCCCAGGCAAACAACGCAAAACTGAGTATTAACCATCCTTTTTACTAAAAGCTCTTGGCCTAACCCATGGTTAGAAAATTCTTTTTTTTTTTTTTGCAGTTTTTGGCTGCAGTTTTGAACCCACCAAACCTGCCACCTCCAGCATATGGAGCTGGCGCCCTACTCCTTTGAGCCATAGGCACTGTCCTAGAATAATTCTTTTTTTTTTTTTTTTTAATTTAATTATGACCGGGGTTGGGAGCTCACACCTGTAATCCTAGCACTCCGGGAGGCTGAGGTATGAGGATCCCTTGAGCTCAGGAGTTGGAGACCAGCCGGAGCAAAAACGAAACCCTGTCTCTGCTAAAAATAGAAAAATTAGCCAAATGTCTTGGCAGGTGCCTGTAGTCCCAGGTACCTGGGAGGCTGAAGCGGGAGGGTCACTTGAGTTTGAGGTTGCTGTGAGCTAGAATGAGGCCACAGCACTCTAGTCTGCAAAAAAATAAAAAAGTTTTCATTATTGTGGGTACGTGGCGGTTATATATATTTATAGGGTACATGTGATGTTTTGATACAGGCATGTGTAATAATTAAATCAGGCAATTGGGGGGTATGCATCACCTCAGGTATTCATCACTTTTTAAAAGTGACATTCCAATTCTATTATTTGCTTTAAAGTATACACTAACTTATTTTTTATGATAGTCACTTTGTTGTGCTCTCAAATATTGTTCATCCTGTCCAATTACCTAACAGTATTTTTACACCCATTAACCAGCCCAGCTTTGCTTCTCACTCTCTGTTACTCTTCCTGAGCTCTGGTAAATCTCATTCTACTCTGTCTCCATGAGAGCAATTGTTTTTAATATTTAGCTCCCACATATGAGTGAGAACATGGGAGATTTGTCTTTCTGTGCTTGGCTTATTTCACTTGACATAATGTTCTTCAATTCCATCCATGTTGTTGCAAGTGACTGTATTTCATTCTTTTTTATGGCTATGAGGTTGGACAATTAAGTCCATGAACGCATCTTGTATATAACTCATTGCTGAGTATCACTTTGGTCACCTTTGAGGTATTCCTTTTGGGAAGCTATGCACTTTTGCCAGCACCTAGTTAACTCTTCAAAGCAATTTTGGGACTCTTTTCCTGGAACAGCCATCAGAGCTGTCATTGAACGAGGTCTGACAATTAAGTTGGTGAACACATGCTAGAAAAAGTGCTACATACCTCACTGGCAAATATTACTACTGTCACCAGATGGCCAAGGAGAGTACTTTGAAAGTAACCATAATGATATTCGGCAAAGAGGTAGGTACCACTTTTTCTAGGATGAGTTTACAAACTTCATTTTCCAACTTCATATAATATTCCATTATGTACATGTGCCATGATTACTTTATCCATTCATTTGCTGACGGATACTTAGGTTGATTCCAAATCTTGGCTATTGTGAACTGCAATAATGAGGGGGGGGGCGGGCAGATATTTTTTCCATATACTGACTGCCTTTCTTTTGGATATATATCTAGCAGAGAGATTGCTGGGTCATAAGGTAGTTTTATTTATTTATTTTAATTTTAATTTTCAGTTTTTTGAGGAATCGCCATACTGTTCTCCATAGTGGTTGCACTAATTTATGTTCCTGATCGTGTACGAGGGTTCCCTTTCTCCACCTCCTTGTCAGCATTTGTTATTGCCTATTTTTTTTGATAAACACCATTTGAACTGAGGTGAGAGGATATCTCGCTGTAGTTTTGATTGCACTTCTCTGATGACTAATGATGTTGAACAGTTTTTATATACCTGTTGGCCGTTTGTACGTCTTCTTTTGAGATATGTCTGTTCATGTCTTTTTCTCATTTTAAAAATTGGATTATTTGATTCTTTCCTATTGAGTTGTCGGAACTCCTTATATATTCTACTTATTAATCCCTTGTCAGATATAGTTTGCAAATATTTTCTCCCGTTCTGTGGTGACTTGTTGATTATTTCCTTTTCTGTGAAGAAACTTTTTAGCTTGATGTGATCTCATTTGTCCAATTGTGCCTTGGTTACTTGTGCTTTGGGGTATTATTCAAGAAGTCCTTGACAGACCAATGTCTTGAAGCATTTCCTCAATGTTTTCTTTTAGTAGTTTCATAGTTTCAGCTATGAGATTTAAGCCTTTAATCCATTTGGATTTTATTTTTGTATATGTCGAGAGATAAAACTCCAGTGTGATTCTTCTGCATGTGGATATCCAGTTTTCCCAGAACTATTTCTTGAAGGGCCAGTCCTTTTCCCAATGTATGGGGATATTTCACTGATAGTCTCACCCTTTATCATATTCCACATGGCTGTTATTTCAAAGGCCCAGTCTCTGATTTGGATCAAGATTCCAGTTCCTTTCCTATGTAGAAAAATTTAGTTTTTTGTTATCTTGACTTCTGACACATGTCTTCACGCTATCTACTTCCAACACCTGCCCCAGATGTTTACATAGATATTTTCCCATGAAAAAGATTTTCATTTGGGGGCTGTTGTTGATATCTGTTAAGATAGTAACGCTTTCAGTACATTCCACATGACCAGTTTTCTTTTTGCCTTTTTCCCCACCAACACCTAGAACGGTGCCTGACATAAGTAGATGTTGGATGAATGTGGAATTAGATCCATAGAGAAGTAAAAAACCCACAAGGGGGTTCACTGTTGCTCACTGCAAAGAAAGCCAGTTACTGAGATGACGAGGTTTGCAGAGAATGCATTAACTGGGAGGTGGGAGGTGTGGACTGACTCAAATCTGCCTCTGGCCAACAGGGTCAGGGTTTTTTCTGGAAGTGAGATGAATAATGCATGAGGGAAGTGAGCAGCATTACTTACTTGGGGTAGAGTGCAGTGAGAAATCATGCTGGTACCTGCGTCTCATCATCAAAAAAATGGTGGATAAGTGTGGGTGGGAGGTGTTACTAGTAATGACCTAGGAGTTATATTGGTCATTCTTTCAACCTTGGGTGCAGGGGAGATGCAGGGAGTGGACAGCTCCATGGGTCCTTGAGTGTGGTGTTACTGGTGTAGCGTTACTTATCGTGTCTTTCATGGATGAAGAGGTAGTGTACGGCTTTGTGATTATCTCACGGCTGCAAGGAGATTCTGCCATTTCGGGGAAAGGAACTCAAAGGGAATGCATCAGTACAACTGAAAGTTACAAAGTTTTGGTCATCAGATTCTTACTGAGTCCGCCAAAGTCTCTGTCTCTCTGTTTTCTTTTCTGCAGTAGTTAAGTTACTGGTGTTGAGACAGAAGTCACTGCCTGTGGTACCAGTGAGTTGCAGTAGTTAAGTTACTGGTGTTGAGACAGAAGTCACTGCCTGTGGTAACACCAATTCAAGGCCATGTAGAGCAGCCAGCTCTAGCCACAGTGTGAATACTGAAAACTCATTTGAAACATATGGGACGGCTCTGCGCCTGTGGCTCAAGCGGCTAAGGTGCCAGCCACATACACCTAAGGTGGCGGGTTCGAATCCCCAGCCTGGGCCCGCCAAACAACAATGATGGCTGCAACCAGAAAATGGCCAGGCGTTGTGGCGGCCGCCTGTAGTCCCAGCTGCTTGGGAGGCTGAGGCAGGAGACCCGCTTGAGCCCAGGAGTTGGAGGTTGCTGTGAGCGTGATGCCATGGCACTTCTACCCAGGGGGCAGCTTGAGGCTCCGTCTCAAAAAAAAAAAAAAAAAAAAAAAAAAAGAAACATATGGGACCTAAAAACACTATAATTTTTTTTCTTAAGTATGGAGCCGCGAACAGAGAGTTTCTCATCTCTGCTTTGCAACGTCAGCTTTCTGCACGAGGCCTCTTCCGCTCTGCACAGTGCTCTTGGACTTAGGGGAGGCACGTCTGGCAGAATTGCCCCAGCCTAGACGATTGTCCCTAGAGATTTAGGTAACGTGTTTTACTCCCTGCAGAGTATAAATTTGCCTGGGCATGAATTTGTCCTGTAGGGGGCACCAGATCCCAACCATTCTCCGGCTAGCTCTTTCCCCCTCGGGTCCTAAACTGTATCTTTCGGTCTCTAAATCCCTGCTACTTAGGAGATATACCTCTAAATCTGGTGGGCAACTGCCTCAGCTGCCCTTCCTTCCAGAGCTTTTGTTTCCCAGACAGAAAGGTATGCAAAGTCTTGGAGACAACATGGCTCTTGGAGACAACATGGCTCACCTCTTTGGTTGCACCTGCCATTCATTGTCCAATACCTCCCAGACAAGCTGACTCTATATGATCAGAATTGGATTATTGGCATCTCACTCGAAATATGCCTGTCTCTCAAATCACACACGCACATATGCAAAAGAGGGGGGCATTTCTTTTCACACAGTCTCAAGGCTTTCCCAGCAGAACATCAGTATACAGCTTTCCAATGACTGACTGCTTCAGCCTCAGATACTTTCTACATTAGTTAATGCCACTTGAAAGTCACTAGGAAAGCTTTGTACGGTGGCAATAGCCAATGAGGTTTATCTGAGGTGTGAGTATTGCTAATGGAAAACCTTTCCCAATACCTCACTATGAGAACTTATGATGTAGTTGCCATTGGCAGTTTTTGACTGTCTCTATAAGTCTGAACAGAAACAAAAAGTTACTAGGCAAATGATCACAGATGTGTATTAATATAACTCTTTGTTCTAACTGTTGCAAAATTAAAAAAATTCTTTTTATTGAGGTATAAATTATATATACTATAAATCACACATCTATAAGGCATACCTCAATAAAAATCTCTAACATGTATGGATATGACCTTGTAGCCACCACTCAGATCATGAGAGAGCACCTTTCTAGAACTCCAGGAGGCTGACTTCTGCCCCTCTGTGAGTTGATACCTTTCCAAAGATAGCCACTATTCTGTATAGCAGGTGAACTTTTTGCCTGTTTGGGGGAAATATATATGCATATAAATGAATCTCTAGGTATTGGCATCTTTTGATAAAGATTATGTCTGTCGGCTCAGCACCTATAGCTCAACCGGCTAAGGCGCCAGCCACGTACACCTAAGGTGGCGGGTTCGAATCCCCAGCCCGGACCCGCCAAAACAACAATGACGGCTGCAACCAAAAAATAGCCAGGCGTTGTGGCGGGCGCCTGTGGTCCCAGCTACTTGGGAGGCGGAGGCAGGAGACTCGCTTGAGCCCAGGAGTTGGAGGTTGCTGTGAGCTGTAATGCCATGGCACTCTGCCCAGGGGGACAGCTTGAGGCTCTGTCTCAAAAAAAAAAAAAAAAGATTATGTCTGTCAAAGTAATTTTTGTTGTGTGTTGCAAAGATTTCTTTTTCGTTGCTGTGTAGTACTCCTCTGCATGACTATACCAGAAGTTATTTATCCATTTTGCCGTTGATGGACATTTCAGATGCTTTCAGTTTGGGTATTTAATGAAAACAATGCTGGCATAAACATTCTTGTATATGTCTTACATATATAATTGCCATGAAATCCTGTTTATGAATCATTTATTTTATGGTTAATGTTTTTATGCCTTTGTAATCAACAGAGTAAAGGTTCTGGTTCTTGGCTTTGCAAGTCCATAAACTTCCATCAACCTATCTAATGGTTGTTCAGGCCTGGAGAAGTGATTCAGAAGCATACATACTATAGGTAACATGTCTGAAGGTATTTTTGTTGCCTAAAAGTATCTATTGTAGAATTTATCTTAGTATGAGACTGATGTGTAAATCCCAGAGATAATTTATGCATTCATGATTTACAATCCAACTCATCTCATTTCAGGTTCTAAAACCCTGGGAAAACAAATTATCAATCTGAAAAGTGTTCAAAAGACACAGATTTAGAATGAAAAAGAATTGAGTGGGTCCAGCAGATATTTACAAGGAACCACCACTGTTACTCTGTTGGGCTCACTATTTTCTTTCACAGGAATCATATGAGACTTGTGTATTTGTAGCGTGGTTCATGTCTTTCCCTGTTTTTTTTTTTTTTTTAACCTATTGATTTGTATCTTTTTTTCCTTAAAAGATTATAAAAATCTCTCTGCATATTTGTTGGCGATTCCCCCAATTTGTCTTTTATTACTTTATTGATGATATTTTCTTTTTGCCCAGGAGAAGTTCAAATTTTTTACTTAGCATAATTTCTATACTAATTATTTCAAGTGAGGCTAGAAGTCACGGCATTTTTGATAGAATGCACGGAAATATGCTGACATTTATTTCTTTCATGTCAGCTAGGAATGATTTTACCAGAGACAAATGTTTTACTCAGAGACACATCTGAAAGAATACAGTGTTTATTCTTCGAATCATTTATGGGTGATACTCATTTGTAGACAACTTTGGCAGGTGTCCAAAAATTTGGGGAGTGTGTGAGAGAAAGACAGGATCTTGAGAAAATTTTGTCTATAACATTATTATTATTCCATGGAGTGATAAAATGTAAATTATCATTGTGTGATTTTAGTGCAAAACGTGTTGATTCATCACATGGAACTATGAGCACTCCCTGTGAACAGTTTGAAAGCCCTTACATCATATTTCTCCATCGTTTTCCCTTTGCAGGTCCCTCATCCAAAATTCAAAGAAATGTGAACCAAAATCTTTCAGTTAATTCAGGCATATATTTGTCACAAATTTTAATGTAATAAAAATGAAGCTGAATCTTTAAAAATTGACTGTAGCATGATAATGGTTTCATATTGGTGGAAAGGATGACCTTGTTTGAAATCGTTCATACATCAAAATTTGATAAACATCTTAAATTACAGCTTAAGTTCCACACCTTGTTGCTTTATTTCCTTAGACTTTACTTCTATTAATTTATAGCTGGGGTCATCAACTTTTTAAACAGGGGGCCAGTTCACTGTCCCTCAGACTGTTGGAGGGCTGGACTGTGGGCCCCAGGACAAGTCGGCTGCTAAGCAGGACAGGCAGCAGTGGCAAAAACACCCAGAGGGCTGGATACATGTCCTCGGCAGGCCGCATGTGGCCTGCAGGCCGTAGTTTGAGGACCCCTGATTTATAGAATACAGTTTTACAATGATAAGGCATTAGGAATTGCAGCAGGCACTGAGGAGCTGTCAGGTGGTGCTGGATTTTACAGAAATGATGGATCAAGCTCACTGGTGATACTGTGCTTACTGTGTTCAGTGCTCCATGGGATAGATGCTAAACCAGCCAGCAAGTCATACAGATGTTGTGACGATGGAGAAAGATTCCTCCCCCAAACTGGCTGCAGTCAGCCCTTAATAGTTATTCCACATGTTCTAAGTATTTGCATGTGGTATAAAAATAAGCCCAACAACATGCCACTGATTTTATTCTTGAACAATGAAAAATCATTAATTGTTGGGAAAGAGCTGACTCAACAGTCAGTGGTTTGCGCGATGGCCCATTCTTAAGATGAGATGATGGCCTTTTTCATATTAAAACATGAGAAATATTGGCCCTGAAGGAATAGGTAAGGCGCTTCATTTGAGAACCATTAAGTAGGCCCAATTGAAATAATAAAAACTATCTCCATCTCCACTCTATTTTATTGGTATCATAGAGTGATACTGTTTAAAAAAGAAATATCAATTTTTGTGCTTGAGATAATTCACAAGCAGTATAATAAAACCAAAATTATTTTTTGATATCTGTTCAGTGGACTCAGTACCCCATCCTCAGTGTAAAATAATCTAAACAACTAAATTAACAAAAAACAAAAACAAATTCTTGAAATCATACTTTTTTTTTTAGAGACAGAGTATTACTACCTTGGTAGAGGGCTGTGGCATCACAGCTCACAGGAACGTCAAACTCTTGGGCTTAAGAGATTCTCTGGTCTCAGCCTCCAAAGTAGCTGGAACTACAGGCGCCTGCCACAACGCCTGGCTATTTTTGGTTGCAGTTGTCATTGTTATTTAGTAGGCCCAGGCTGGGTTTGAACCCACCAGCCTGGGTGTATGTGGCTGGTGCCCAACTCACTGAGCTATGGACGCCGAGCCTTGAAATCATACATTTTTGCAAAATGAAGGATAGCTTATGTCTCTCAAAATTATATTCCAAATTTTGATAAAGGGATTATTAATGCATCAGAAGTTCTCTCTCTCTTTTTAAGCTATCTCTTTTTTTTGAGACCTATCACTTAAACTTTTGGAACATAGTTTCTTCTCAATAATAGGAGAATACAGATGGTGCCAAAAAAACGTATAGACATTTAACCAAGGAAAAAACTGTATTAAAATTATAATACTTAAGGCATTTTTTGCTTCTTCAATTGTAAGAGGTGCTCAACATGCTTTGTATTCATCTTTTGTAATCGGTATATTGAATATTACGGTTTTTGTTTTTTTTTTTTTTTTGAGACAGAAGCCTCAAGCTGTCCCCCTGGGTAGAGTGCTGTGGCATCTCAGCTCACAGCAACCTCCCACTCCTGGGCTCAAGCGAGTCTCCTGCCTCCGCCTCCCAAGTAGCTGGGACCACAGGCACCCACCACAACGCCTGGCTATTTTTTTTGTTTGCAGCTGTCATTGTTGTTTGGTGGGCCTGAGCTGGATTCGAACCCACCACCTTGGGTGTACGTGGCTGGCACCTTAGCCACTTGAGCCACAGGCGCCGAGCCGAATATTACGATTTTAATACAGTTTTTTCCTTGCTTAAAATGTATATGCAGTTTTTTGGCACCCTCTGTACTTGCCCTGTCTCATGCTGTCGTTGAAATGAGAACAAAAGCATGCATAAACTGCAAAAAGTCATAGAATTTCTGGTGGCATATATTAGTTGATACCAGTTAAGAAGACAATTGTTCAATTTTTAAGTCTATTCCTATTGTAGCTGCCATTTTAGATATTAATTATATTTTATTGATAGTAACATGCTAGTGAGGTAAAATACTACAAGATAAACAACAGAATCTTTGAGGTATATGTACAACTTTTAAAAATATATGACTAAAGAATGTAGTAGAATCTCTGAAAAATCAATGGTATTTAATATTCCATTTCAAATTTCTGAGATCCATGGAAACAAAATGATCACATTTTTCTCTGACATGGCCAACTGTCAGACTACCTGTGTAAGTGGACACTATTTGCAGGAACAAATAGTGAAATGGGGTGGACTCTGTCCCCACTGTGGGGATAAACTGAGAGGGCCTCTGAACTGCCCCGATGATAGAACTCCCACGCCTGGAGTCTCGCGCACAGCTTTAGCACTTCTGAGAGCCTCTGATTCATCTCCTCTCCTTCAAACAGCATTGCATGTCCTGAATCAGAAGTCTGTCTTATTCACAACAATTTCATGGGTGGGAAAAATAAAATGGAGGTCACAGAGGTCCCAAGGTCACAGAGCACATGTGATCACTGTCTAAGTGTAACTTTGTTCCTACATTTGGGTGTGTGGTGACACATTTGAGTAGAACACACCATTCTTCACATTTTAATTGCCCAGAAAACTCACTTTATTCTGTACAGTCTTACTGGATTTTGTTTCCTGAGTTAACTCCAGCTTTTATTATATGACAAAACTAGACATTGAACTAAACTTATCGTTGCTTTTAACTTCATGTGAAAGTTCAAAAAACCAGGGCCACCAGTTAGGGTGGCCTTTAGGATGGGAGGGAAAGAGAGTCA